TACGCATAAATTCTAGCACCTTCAGATCTAGCGAGAGAAAGCTGGTAGGCCTACATATGAAAGAATGGGTCTATGTTGTCAGTGTGCACAGTATAAAAAAAATCCTGCAGCACACAGTGCGTAATGAGAACAAAGAAACTCCGACAGTGTTTTTGCTTTAAAACAGCGACTTTGCAGTGTATTTTTGTATCCTATTTGTGGTTGTATTCTAGTTTTCCTGGTCTCATTTCATAGAATCGAAGAGATATTACAGAAATTGAGATGATTTTGATTGGTTTCACAATGAAAAGTACCTTGAAATTGAGCTCAAAGTAGCAGAAATGTTTGATTTTTTCCAAAGTTCAAAAGTAAACAAATGATGCCACGCGTCCAATACACACCAACTGGTAAGTCTAATATTCTTTCACAAGTGCATTGATATTATTTATACCATTTATACACTAATGCAGTAGTCAGCATAACAGTAAATCGTCTATTTTTTTGTGAGAATAAAAATTCAAAGTGGAAAGCAAAAGAAATATAAGAGAGGCCTGGGGACATGACTAATGAACAGAAAAAATGTTATTTTAGTGCCAGGAATGTCTGTCTTGTTTATTCTGGACTCTATTTGGAAATTGCCATCTTTTGAAATTTCTGTGAAATAGGCAAAATTGCCAATTTCTGACCACTTTGGAAATATAAACACATATGCACTATAATGTGATCCTTTATTGACAATGTTTCGCCCACACAGTGGGCTTTTTCAAGTCACAAACAGATCTACCTGGGTGGAAGGTACGCGAGTATTTATAGTCAGGTTCAGAATGCTGAGGTCAGGTGAAGAATGCTGCATCTGATGATCTACCGAGTGGGGTTATAGAGTCTAAAATCTTGGGTAGCTTGGAAGGGAGATTGGATAAGTTTATGAGCAGACCTTCTGCAGTGTTCTTCCATTCCCATGTTCTTATGTGGGATAGCGATGAAGTTTTTTGGCATGTTGTTCAGCTATGTTATAGAAGCCATTGTTCTGGTTGAAATTGTCAGATATAGAGATAAGCGATGATTCCAGGATTCTTCGGTATTTAGTGTTGTCTTTGGCGATAAGTCTTGAGTTTCTGTAGTTTATTAAATGGTTGTATGAATTACGGTGTTGTACACAAGCATTTCTTGTATCGTCAAACCTTCTTCCGTATTGGTGTTCTGAAATACGTGTTTGGAGGTCTCTTGATGTTTTGCCCACGTATAATTTGCTGCAGTCATTACAAGGGATTATGTATACCCCTGCAGAGGATGGAAGCTTGTCCTGCCTATTACTGGTAATGTCCTTGGTGGTTGTGGTTGTAGAGGTAGATCTGATGATACAAGAAATGCCTGTGTACAACACCGTAATTCACACAACCATTTGATAAACTACAGAAACTCAAGACTTATCGCCAGAGAAGACAACACTCGATACCGAAGAATCCTGGAATCATCGCTTACCTCTCTATCCAACAATTTCAACCAGAACAATGGCTTCTATAACATAGCTGAACCACCTGCCAAGAAACTTCATCACTATCCCACATAAGAACATAGGAATGGAGGAACACTGCAGAAGGTCTGCTCACAAACTTTTCCAATCTCCCTTCCAAGCTACCCAAGATTTTAGACTATAACCCCACTCGGTAGATCATCAGATGCAGCATTCTCCACCTCACTATAAATACTCACGTACCTTCCACCCAGGTATATCTGTTTGTGACTTGAAAAAGCCCACTGTGTGGGCGAAACGTTGTCAATAAAGGATCACAATATACTGCATATGTGTTTATACAGTGGACCCCCGCATAACGATCACCTCCCAATGCGACCAATTATGTAAGTGTATTTATGTAAGTGCGTTTGTACGTGTATGTTTGGGGGTCTGAAATTGACTAATCTACTTCACAACATTCCTTATGGGAACAAATTCGGTCAGTACTGGCACCTGAACATACTTCTGGAATGAAAAAATATCGTTAACCGGGGGTCCACTGTATTTCCATTGTGTCAGTATTTTATATCATTTATTTCCTTCTTACCACTTTATTAGATAGTTGACATCGGTAAATGGGTGGTTTCTTGTACTCATTCGATAGAAATAATGGAGTTCTAGCGAAAGTTATGATTTTTGTGGACTGATACATAGGAGTTGGCCAAAAATAGGGCCCAAAGTGGGTGAAATCACCAATGCGTAAACATAATCGAGACCGCTAACTTTACAAGAGCATAATTCTGTAAGTTTTCCATCAAATTTCATACTTTTGGTGTCATTATGATCGGGAAAAGATTCTCTATCTTTTTTTTTTTCCGAAAAATTTCTGACCCTGAGAACAAGTTTAGGAGAGGGCCTGTTAACCCTGAATTTCAGCACCCATCTCCAGCACATATCAAAAAAAGTATCCAAAACAGTTGGAATCCTCTCCAAGATACGATACTACGTACCGCAAAATGCCCTTCTCACACTATACCATTCACTCATTTATCCATACCTCACCTATGCAATTTGTGCTTGGGGTTCAACTGCAGCAATGCACCTAAAGCCAATAATAACTCAACAAAAAGCCGCAGTAAGAATAATCACTAACTCCCATCTCTGGCAACACACACCCCCACTCTTCATAGATCTAAACTTACTCCCTGTTCAGCACATCCACACTTACTACTGTGCAATCTACATATACAGGACCTTAAATACCAATATTAACCTTGACCTAAAATGCTTTCTTGATAGTTGTGACAGGACCCACAAGCATAACACCAGACACAAACATCTCTACGACATTCCCTAAATCTATACAAAAATTCAATGTATGTCAAAGGCCCTAAAATCTGGAACACCCTACCTGAAAACTCTAGAACTGCAGACACATTCATCACCCTCAAAACTACCGTTAGAAAACATCTTATCTCAGATACACCCCGTCAACTAACTACATAAAAACCACCTGGTGGTTCACACTTACTCGCTCACCCATTTGACTATAAGCACAGAAATACTTATCTTAATATTAAAATAATAATTCCTAACTAGTCACAAGTTTGCCTGTGATACTCCAATATAGAAACTATGTATTGTGCCAAAACAAAAGCATTCACATTGCTAAACTCACAAACTAGTATTTAGTCACTTAGTATTTAGTCATTTAGTATTTAGTCAACTTACTCCACAATTTGTAATAATTTAGGGTTAAGAATTAATCTAAGTTTGCCTGAAATGCCTAACCTTGCTAGGTGTTCTAGTGGCCCCCTCTGTAATTAGTATTTTATTACATGTAAACCACACAATAACCAATATCTGTAAACCCCACGTTGTAATCCTTAGAGAATAAACTTTGATTTGATTGAAAGGGTTAATCTTGTCCCCAGGATGCAATCCACACCAGTCGACTAACACCCAGGCACCTATTTGCTGCTAGGTGAACAGGACAACAGGTGTAAGGAAATACGTCGACTTTTGAATGTTGCCCATATGCCTACAGGCTTGCCTGTCCAAGTTCCTGTTATAGGTGGTAGGATGTCTCTTATATGCTCGCCATGCCTTGTACTTAGCAGTAGCATCCTTTCTACAATGAAAGCCAAACCAAGGCTGCTCTGTCGGCTTCATCACATACTGCCGGTGATGGATGAGTTCTTGTAGATTAAGGATGTGTCCAGTGAAGGCTTTCACTTGGTTGTCAACATCCTCTTGGACATCCTCTTGGAGAAGAGCATTCCAGTCGGTGGTGACAAGTTCAGAGCAAAGGGCTGGCCAATTCTCTTTCCCATAGCCAGGTTGTGTGTGTGGACTCCTCACCTCGTTCTGTTGGGACTCACTCTCACTCTCACTCTCTCTCTCTCTCTCTGTCTGTCTCTGTCTCTGTCTCTCTCTCTGTCTCTCTCTCTGTCTCTCTCTCTGTCTCTCTGTCTCTGTCTCTGTCTGTCTGTCTGTCTCTCTCTCTCTGTCTGTCTGTCTCTCTGTCTGTCTGTCTCTGTCTGTCTCTCTGTCTCTGTCTGTCTGTCTCTGTCTGTCTGTCTGTCTCTGTCTGTCTGTCTCTCTGTCTCTCTGTCTGTCTCTGTCTGTCTCTGTCTGTCTCTGTCTCTGTCTGTCTCTGTCTGTCTCTGTCTGTCTCTCTCTCTCTCTCTCTCTCTCTCTCTCTCTCTCTCTCTCTCTTTCTCTCCTTCCTTCGAATGTGTAGTGTACTGAGCGAGCCTGAAATACCATTCCAATTTTTTTTTAATGTTGTTGCCAAAGGTGAAAAAGTTGAACCTGACATAGGCTTCAATGAAATCCTGTGCAGGAAGAAGTATGTTGAGGTCTGCAGTGACAGAACTGCAAGGAAAAGTAATTACTTGGTTGATGGGGCCCAAATCAAGAGAGAGGCTGCATCTGAGCTAGCAAGTTTCTTGGTTTTAATGACCACATTGTTAAGCCTAGAAAGGTCTTCAGAGTTCCAAGTGTGAGCTGCTAACCGTGCCCAGCATTTTGTCTTGCTAGAAAACCTGCCAGTTTGTGGGGTGCCCCACCAATCCTGGAACACCTTGAAAAGGACCCTTTTAAAGATGACCTTTATTCTCATCATGGACCGGGGTAGAGCACAACATTTATACCACGAGAGAGGCAGGGCTAAACACAGAATTTTGGAAGCAACAGTGACCCACATCAGCAATACCACTGAACAGCACAGTGGAATGCACATGTTAAGTGGTCCACATTCTCAATGTTTCATATAACAACCATGGTAAATCCTGTCACCTTAACCCCACCCCCTGCTTTTGCCAATACTTGACTTCACCTGTACTTGATTTCACATTTTCATGGCCTCACATGTCACCTGCTTTTCTCCAAGCCTGACCTCAGGATGCTCATTTGTTTTATAAGGTGATGTATTTGCTCATTCCCATAGCCCTGTTATTAAAAGGACTCACTGATACCAGTCTTTTTATTTCTACTGGTTACAAAGACATTTTAATAAATGTAGCAAGTGTTGCCAGATATTTTCAGTGTTTTAATGTTGCAGAATGTGGATGAATCTGATTCATGCATTGAAAGCCAGCTAGAACCTGTTGAATGTTTTGGTCCGTACTTCAGGCTGATTCCTTGTAGTGGTCAAGTCAAGGAATTACAAACAATCATCCGGGATAGGTAAGCTTCACAGATTACTTTATCTAATGGGACCAATAAAGAAATTGTTACCATAAATCTTGCTTCAGAAACTAATCATCTGGTTTTAATGATTTTTAATGCTATTAATGATTTGTTTTTTCTTCTAGGAATACATCAAGAAGTGATTTCAAATTCTATGCTGACAGATTAGTAAGTGATTAATAAACAATAGTTGGATTGATGTATTGACACGAATTACTATAATTTTTAGAAACTTCATATGTATGTTTTGTGCTTCTGCTGTCTATTATAATTAGCTGTATATTATCTTAATATGTACAGTATCATAATTCTCTTTCCAATTTTATTCATATTTTTACAGATGTTATGGAATATGGCAAGTCATTCTCCATTTAATTTTTAAACAACTTCGAAATTATACCACATTTATTTTATTCAACTTTTCACTGGAATTAGATTCGCTTGGTGGTTGAAGAGGGTCTAAATCAGCTGCCATATTCTGACTGTTCCATCACAACACCAACTGGATGTCAGTACCAGGGTTTGCAGTTTGTTAAAGGCAACTGTGGTGTTTCAATTGTCAGATCTGGAGAAGCTATGGAGCAGGTAAGCTTCGAGGACTTTGTGCTACAACAAATATAGCATTCCAATAGTAGTGGAAAGATAGCTCTGTTATATTTGGGTAATGTTTGATAGAAAACTAAATTTCATTGTTTTCAAGGCTCTTGATTACCATTTGCCAGTTTTTTTTTTCCTATATGACCATCTCTCACCAAAGCATGGTGACCCAAAGTAGAGAACACAATCACCATACATTCAGTTGCTTTCTTGCCAGAAGTGTGCTAAAATCACAATTTAGATAGCCCTCTGACTGCAACATTGGCAAGGCCAAAGGGGTGCTAAGGGAGAATTCAGCTCCTCTTAGCCTCCAGTGCTCTTAGTCACATCATCTACACAAGCTTGTTGTTACTTGAAAAGTGTCAGATCAATGACTACTACTCATTCTATATGCACTTGCTTACTTCCTTGTCACAGTCAGTGAATTAGACAATTTTGGAGAGGGTTTAAATGGCATAAGGAACATAGAGCAAGTTGGATCATGTTTCAATGAATATTTGGATGCTTTTCTGTCATGGCTGCCCTCATAAAGGAGAATACCCAGAAATAATAAAGCATTCAAGACATATGATAGATTAGTTTATAAATCTTTGGTATGGAAATTGCTTAGCCCAGTGAATGAACATTAAACAAAGAAAGGTAACACAGATTTCCCTCACTTTATTCAAATTTGTTTTTATGTGACGTCCAGTTTCTACTGGTAATTCTATGTGATATGCATTTGCCATATGAATGAAATATGAGGAAAATTTCTGGGCCTGCACCTTGACAGCAACTTGAAATTCAACACCCGTATCCAACACACAACAAAAAAAAAAAAAGTACCCAAAACAGTTGGTATCCTCTCAAAGATACATTATTATGTACCGCAAACAGCATTACTTGCATTATGCTATTTACTGATCTACTCTTACCTCACCTATGCTATTTGTGCCTGGGGATTCACAACAGCAATTCACCTTAAGCCAATAATAACCCAACAAAAAGTTTCAGTACAAATGATCACACAGTTCACTGATAGACGACACTCCCCCTCCCTACTCTTCAAAGACCTAAACCTACTCGCTATACAAAACATTCACTCTTACTACTGTGTATCCTACATTTGCAGAACAATAAATTCTAGTATTATCTTGACCTGAAGCACTTGATAGTTGCAACAGGATCAATAGACAGTACTAGGTACAAAAATCTCAGATATTCCCCGTGTCCAGCAAAATCTCTCCAAAAATTCAATGTACATAAAAGGGCCTAAAATCTGGAATTCTTTGCCGGAAATCTCCAGAGCCACTGACTCGGCCAGCATTTTCAAAACTACCATTAAAAACACCTTCTCTCCCTAACATATCCCAGCATTGGCTAAGTATGTGAAAACTATATTTCCATGTTTTCAATGCCATGAACACATGTACAGCAATATAATCATATTCTCAATATCTATTATCCTCCCAATCATTAAAACATTGATTGTGTCCCCTTTAAGTTAATATGCTAGAATCCTCATCACCTATAATCATGACTCATGAAATCATAATGACATGATTACAAACAAACCATACCACGGGTGGGGTTAGAACCCGCGATCAGAGTGTCTGGAGTTTTGATCGCGGGTTCTAACCCCACCCATGGTATGGATTTTTTAACCTATAATTATAAACAAACCTGTACTTCCTTACCAGTTAAACATGATAAAAGCCATATAGAATGAACTAATAGGATATTCAATTCTATTCTATTCACTGTAAAATAATATAGATATTAAACTAACATTGTAACTCCTAAATTTATACTTACATGTACCTAAGAGACTGTATGTATAAAATTACAGAAATGCTCTGCATATTAAGGGGTTTTCTGCATGCACAGCTAAATGTTATTCATCTTTGTATAAACATTATATCATGTTGAAATAAATTATTATTATTATTTTGTGGTTTGTAAGATGTAGTGAAGAATTTTGATGTGGAATTAAGTCTTTATAGGCTAATTGAGCTTAGTACAACTTCCATAGGACTGGAATGCATCTGCATAAAGTGAGGACACCTATATAGCAATATTGTACTCTGTTGATGAAAATGAGTAAATGCAGATAATTCCTAGAATGGCAGAAAGTTTTATACAAACAATGCTGTAGTAGGTACAAGTTTATAAACTATTTTATTGAAAAAGTTTTCTGACTTCATTTATTCATTTATTTACAGGGCTTACGGTCGTGTTGTCGGTCTATCAGGCTGGGTAAGATTCTAGTAGAATCAGACCTGGAAACTCACGAGGCACGGGTTGTATATGCAAAGTTTCCAGAGGATATAAGTCAACGAAAAGTTCTTCTCATGTACCCTATTATGAGTAAGTTGTTTACTTTAAGTAAAAAACATTCTGGTAGCAAGTGTCAATCCGTATTTTTTTTTTTATGTGCATTGGTGTGCCTCATAATTTGATTAATATAGCTGATATTGTATAATTCAAATAAAGGATTACCTGGTACTCGACATAGCAGTCTGAGTATGCTGTAATACCATCCTACCCAGGTGGTGTGGATTTGTCCTCAGTGCTGCATTGAGCTCAAACTCAATGAAAGGAATGTTAGTCATTTTCCTTGCTGGGCATAAAACAAATCACTCTCTCCCTGGCATCATGTTTGTCCTTTAATTTCATCTTGCGTGGCACTGGGAAGATTGTCATAGCTAGATGTAGCCACCCAAGCACTGACCAACTCATTTGCCGTATGTCAGGAGGAGGGTGGGGTGAGAGTATGCAATCTGACAAGTCCTGTTACCCTTAACTCTATTTATATCCCTACATGGGTGGTGGCATTGAGACTGCTGACAACTGTTTTATTTCCCAGTCTGTTTGTCGAAGCTTTGCCATATGCTTCCTGGAAGCAGCAAGGACACTTTGAAAGAGCTTCAGTGTTTCAGGGATATGATATTTTCTATAGGCTAGGCCTAGTCTCCAAACAGTGTGTAGTAAGTAAGAGTTTTACAGTAGGTATTATCATGGATGTTATTTGGGTTTAGAGTATCAGGAGGTTTCAGTGGCTGTCTAGGCACAGTTTGAATATTGCTTACAAGGTCATGTATAGCTCCATTTTTCTGGAATGTATTGTGTAAGAAAGATGATTGTCTGCTGACTACATGATTGTCTATTGACCACAACAGTTAACCCGAAAATAACTACACACCCGCTGGAAAAAATACAGGAAACAAAAACATCAGCTAGCTCAGCCCCCAGCTCTAGAACTGACCCAGGCTCAGCGCCCAGCCTTAGTGCTAATCCAGACTAGGCTAAAGACTCTGCCACAGTCACTACAGCCATAGCCCCTATTACAGATGTACTAGAAGAGGAGTCTTCTTCTGGGGAAAATGTTGGTCTCTTGGAATCAGATGGTAGTGTCTCTGGCTTGCTTACTGAAGATTGTAGTGCATTTCTAGGATCTACACAAATTGGGAATACATCCACTATGAATTTCATCCAACCAAAAGCAAAATGGTGCAAATTCTATGCTTGGAGCATCTGTTAGCATGGAATATTGGGAAAAACAAATGGGACATGCAACTTTGAGCATGTTAAGTAAAAGCACACAAATGCAACTAATGACATTTTATTGTGGCAATGTTTCACTCTCCAGGAGCCTTGTCAGGTCATTACAAACAAGACATGGACACAGAGGGTATATATAGGCTATGAGTGAAGTGTAGTAGAAGTGGTAGTAGTTTTTGTTTTATTAACACATCGGTCGTTTTCCACCAAGGCAGGGTGGCCCGAAAAAGAAAAACTTTCATTATCATTCACTTTATCACTGTCTTGCCAGAGGCATGCCTAAACTACAGTTATAAAATTGCAACATTAACACCCCTCCTTCAGAGTGCAGACACTGTACTCCCATCTCCAGGACTCAAGTCCGGCACTGCCGGTTTCCCTGAATCCCTTCATAAATGTTACCTTGCTTACACTCCAACAGCACGTCAAGTCCTAAAAACCATTTGTCTCCATTCGCTCCTGTCTAACACACTCACGTACGCTTGCTGGAAGTCCAAGCCCCTCACACACAAAGCCACCTTTACCCCCTCCCTCCAATCTTTCCTAGCCGACCCCTACCCCGCCTTCCCTCCACTACAGATTTGTATACTCACGAAGTCATTCTATTTCATTCCATCCTCTCTACACATCCAAACTATCTCAGTAACCCCTCTTCAGCCCTCTGGATATTGCTTTTGGTTATCCCACACCTCCTCCTAATCTCCAAACTACAGATTCTCTGCATTACATTCACACCACACATTGCCCTCAGACATGACACCTCCACTGCCTCCAGCCTACTCCTTGTTGCACCATTTACAACCCCTGCCTCACACCCATACAACAGCGTTGGTATAACTATACTCTCATACATTCCCCTCTTTGCTTCCACAGACAAAGTTCTTTGTCTCCACAGGCTCTTCAGTGCACCACTCGCCTTTTTCCCCTCATCAATTCTATGATTCACCTCATCCTTCATAGACCCATCTGCTGACACGTCCACTCCCAAAAATTTTCACCACCTCCATACTCTTTCCCTCCAATCTGATATCCAATCTTCCGTTACCTAATTTTTTTTATTCTCATCACCTTACTCTTTCCTCTATTCACTTTTAAATTCCTTCGTTTTCATACCCTACCAAACTCATCAACCAACCTCTGCAACTTCTCTTCAGAATCTCCCAAAATCAGTGTCATCAGCAAAGAGCAACTGTGACAACTCCCACTCTGTGTTAGATTTTTTATCTTTTAACCCTCTAACTGTCCAAACATAGATCTGCGTTTGTGCGCATAGCGCTCCGACCTTGATTTTCTCCATAAGAAAGAATGTAAAAAAAACGTAGATCTACGTTTGGAGTGTTACGCGAGCAATATTAGATCTGTTTGGACAGTTTAAGGGTTAACCCCACACCTCTTCCCAACACCCAAGCATTCACTTCTCTTAGTACTCCATCTATAAATATATTGAACAATCATGGTGACATCACACATCTCTGTTTAAGGCCTGCTTTTACTGGGAAATAATCCCCCTTTCTCCTACATACTCTAACCTGAGCCTCACTATCCTCGTAAAAACTTTTCACCGCTTTCAGTAACCTACCTCCTATTCCATACATTTGCAACATCTGCCATGTTGCCCCCTATCATATGCATTTTCCAAATCCATAAATGCCACAAAAACCTCTTTACCCTTGTCTAAATACTGTTCACCTATGTGTTTCACTGCAAACACTTGGTATACACACCCCCTACCTTTCCTAAAGCCTCCTTATTCATCTGCTATTCTGCTCTCCATCTTACTCATAATTCTGTCAATAATAACCATACACTTTACCAGGTATACTCAACAGACTTATTCCCCTATAATTGTTACTCTCTCTTTTGTTCCCTTTGGCTTTATACACAGGAACTATGTATGCTCTCTGCTACTCCCTAGGTAATAATGTTGGTAGAATTACCGACAATATGTAAAGTAAAAGGACGCGAGTGCAACTAATGTGACTTCTTATCGTGGAAATGTTTCACTCTCCAGGAGCTTTATCAAGCTGTTACAAACAATACATGGACACAGAGGGTATATATAGGCTCAGATTGAAGTGTAATACTAGTAGTAGTAGTAGTAGTAGTAGTAGTAGTAGTAATATAAGTTGTAAATTGTAGTAGCTTTTATATCCTTTTACTCATGTGCAAGTTAATTGTTCTACCATGTTGTATTACTACTACTACTACACCTTATATCACTACTACTACTAGTATTGCACCTCACTCTGAGCCTATATATACCCTCTGTGTCCATGTACTGTTTGTAACAGCTTGACAAAGCTCCTGGAGAGCGAAATGTTGCCACAATAAAAATGTCACATTAGTTGCACTTGTGTCCTTTTACTTTATACTCCCTAGGTACCTTACCCTCTTCCATACATTTATTAAATAAAAACACTAACCATTCCAAAACTATATCCCCACCTGCTTTTAACATTTCTGTCTTTATCCCAGCTGCTTTACCCCCTTTCATTCTATTAACCACCCCATGCACTTGCCCCCACACTCACAACTGGTTCTTCCTTACTCCTACAAGATGTTATTCCTCCTTGCCCTGTACATGAAATCACAGCTTCCCTGTCTTCTTCAACATTTAACAATTCCTCAAAATATTCCCTCCATCTTCCTGATACCTCTAACTCTACATTTGCTAACTCTCCTCTCCTATTTTTAACTAACAAATCCATTCTTTCCCTAGGCTTTCTCAACTTATTAATCTCACTCCAGAACTTTTTCTTATTTTTAACAAAATTTGTTGATAACATCTCACCCACTCTCATTTGCTCTTTTTACATTGCTTCACTACTCTTTTAACCTGTCTTTTTCAACATATACTCCTTCCTCCTTGCATCACTTCTACCTTGTAGAAGCCTCTCATATGCTAACTTTTTCTCTCTTACTACTCTCTTTATATCATCATTCCACCAATGACTTCTTCCCTCCTGCACCCACTTTCCTGTAACCACAAACTTCTGCTGAACACACTAACACTATATTCTTAAATTTACCCCATACATCTTTTACCCCATTGCCTGTATTCTCATTAGCCCATCTGTCCTCCAACAGTTGTTTATATCTTACCCTAACTACCTTCTCCTTTAAGTTTATAAACCTTCACTTCTCTCTTACTTGCTGCTTCCATTTTCCTTGTATTCCATCTACCTTTTACTCTCACTGTAGCTACAACTAAAAAGTGATCTAATATATCTGTGGCCCCTCTATAAATATGTACATCCTGAAGTCTTCCCAACACACTTTTATCTACCAATAAGTAGTCCAACAAACTACTGTCATTTTGCCCTTCATCATGTATAGTACCTATAATCAAACCCCTTTCTATACAAAGTTCAATCAAATGCTCCCCATTATCATTTACAACTGGCACCCCAAACTTATATACCACCCTCTCTAAATGCTTCTCCTACTTTAGCATTTAGGTCCCCTACCATAATTATTCTTTCACTTGGCTCAAAAGTTCCTACACACTTGCTTAACATCTCCCAAAATCTCTCTCTCTCCTCTACACTCCTCTCTTCTCCAGGTGCATACACACTTACTATGACCCACTTTTCACATCTGATCCCTTTTTTAATCCACGTAATCCTTGAATTTATACATTTATATTCCCTCTTCTCTCTCCATAACTGATCCTTTAACATTATTGCTACCCCATCCTTAGCTCTAACTCTCTCAGATACTCCTGACTTAATCCCATTTATTGCTCCTCTAGCCCCTTCAGCTTTGTTTTGCTTAGGACTAGGACATCCAACTTCCTTTCATTCATAACCTTTGCAATCACTTCTTGCTTATCTGCACTACACCCACGCACATTCAAACATCCTAATTTTATAAAGTTCTTCTTTTTCTTTTTAGTAATTTATACAGGAGAAGGGGTTACTAGCCCATTGCTCCCGGCATCTAGTCGCCTCCTACAA